CGGCCCCACGATGGCCCCCAAACACCCAGCATGCGAGCAAGAGGGCCCCAAGACGGTCCAAGAGAGCCCCAAGACGGCGCACGAGGGCCCCAACACTGCCCAAAAGGGCTCTGAGGGACCCCCAAGACTAACTCAAAGGAGACCAAGACAGCCCCCCAAGACGGCCCCCCTGCTCATCATCATCATCATCATCATCATCATCATCATCATCATCATCATCATCATCATCATCATCATCATCATCATCATCATCATCATCAATAACAATGAGGTTGAAGATAATAACAATAATAATACGAATGACGATAATAAAGGCAATTGTAATACAACTGGTGGCAGTACCAATAATCTTCATGATACTAATACTCATGATAGTAAGAATAACGGTGATACAAGATGATAACAGCATGAAGAACCATCTCAGAAGCAACATGATCATCAACATCATCATCATACGCATCATCATCATCACCACCATAATCATAATCAGCAGCATCGTCATCATTATTGTCGTCATCGCCACCTCAATCCACATCACAATCGTCATCAACAGCATCATCGTCGTCATAGCCATGATTATCACAACCACCAAAACCACCATCACCACCACCACCTTTTACTAACATCATCATGATCAATATCATCATCATCATCATCATCATCATCATCATCATCATCATCATCATCATCATCATCATCATCATCATCATCATCATTACCACCACCACCATAATCATCCTCATACTCATACCCACCCTCATCCTCATCAAGGCTCTCCCACCCTCAAACAGTCGCCACTCAGAATGCTGGGCTGGCACGGTGGCGGGACTTGCCGCGGGCAGCTGTTCAACTCCTCCATGTCGCATCACTGACGTGTCCGTAGGGCGGGCCAGGCGTTTCGCCTGAGATATCCTCATCACGCATGAGCCTGAAGCTTGAAATTCGCAACAGTTTCAAGGATAGAGGGCTGGTATGCTTCGATATGTGGCTCTCGCCTTAGCGCCGGACACATCGGTCTATGAAAGTTTGCAGAAGTTGAAGGATGGCGGGCGGGTCCTTTCCAAAATCTGTCTCTCGCCTAAGCGCAGCGCACATTCGTCGTAAAAGTTTTCAGCCGATCGAGGGGTTCGTATGGTTGAATTGCCAGGATTTTTGTTATGACATGGTTTAGTACTGCCAGGGCGCAACAAGCACGTTGATTCGCGGTGTTGAAGTTCCAGGAAGGGTGTTCTGGTACGAATTATCACAACGCAACAGTCATGTTGATTCGCGGCGCTTTAGGCCCAGGAAGCGTGTTTTGGCACGATTGGGGATTCTCAGACGGTTGTCTTCAGGCCAACGGCCTCTTGGACGACTTCACGCACTCGGTTCAGCTGCATCAGTGGGAGGCCGCCTCCCAAGGCGGCTCAGGGCTAGAGGGCGGCGCCGACAATTTCAGCGTTCGGAAGTTCCTCTACCAGCTCGAGCAGCTGCCGCAGGGGAGGCGCCTCGCCGAAATGATGATGGTCATCGCAGTGGGAGGAGCTTGGCCTGCCGAACGGAGGAAAGACGGAGGCTACTCTGAGTCTGGCCTCTGCCCTAGATGCAAAAAAGAAGTCGAGACCCCACTGCACAGGTATTATACTTGTGAATGCAATTCGGACGCTGCCTCGCCTGCCTATGCCCATTCTAACCACTTGTGCGATAAGGCTATCGTGCAGTCAGCTAGTGAAGAATGTTTTTGGTTTAGAGGACTCATCCCAGCCTCCTGGACCCAGGTGGATCCACCTTGCCAGGAAGAATATTGGTCGAACCTTCCCGAAGTTCAGGTGGTCGACTCTTTGTTTTTCGGTAATCCAGTTATCTTGCATGGAGATTTCTCGGGGGGGGGGGCGACACCCACGACCCTCGTCTTCGACGTGTTGGGGTTGCGGTTGTAGATTCCTCTCAATGGCGTTCTAATGACGGTGCTAGGTTTCGTTTCGGCCCCCTCCCTGGCCCCCAACAAACGGTGGCCAGGGAAGAGCTTTATATGTTATATACCGCCCTTAGGTTTTCAGACGGCCCACTTGTGTATGTCACAGACAACGACGCCGTCTGCTCGGGGTGGTGGGATCGTCTTTTCCAGGCTCCTCGTGGAGCCAACATCGACCTTTGGCGCGGCATAGGTAAGGATTTCGTGGACAAGAACCGAGACCCAGGGTCCATTATAGTCCTGTGGATCCCATCTCATCTCGAGGCCTCCGATATCCTAGCCAGAGACGCTCCGCGTTGGATGGTTGAAGGCAACACTTACGCCGACGTTCTTGCCGCCGAAGCGGCCAAGGCCGCCCGTCTTCCCGAGGCCCAGAGGCATCGCGTTTTAACTGTGGAGGCTGACGCCTACAGAATCCGCCACCGCCTTTTGAGAGCCGCGCTCGAGGTAGCCGAATTGGAGTGTCCAGGTGGTTTGAAAAAGCGGGCCCCTGCTGCTGCTGCTCGTGCTCCTCGACTCGCTCCCCCCGCTGATGCCGCGGTGGCCCTTTTAAATTCTGCTCATACCATCAGCCCTTGCGGGAAAAAAATGTCTCGTGTGTCACGGGTCCACGACTGCGGCGGCCAAGCGGGAGTTTTCAAATTCAGATTGCTTTCGGCCTGATAGGTGTAACAGTCATACTGTTCGGGTTCCTCAGGGGCGGCGTTTACATCTCGCTGGGGGGCTTGTTCACCCGTCACATCAGATGAATTTTCACGAGCGCCTGGAAGTGTGGTTCTGCGGAACTTGCGGGAGTATCGGCTCACAGCAGTTGAGAGGCCTCGCCAAGGAATGCAAGCCACCGACCAGAACTGGCAAGGAATACCTTGACCGAATAGCCAGAGGCCTCACGCCCAAAGTTCTCAGTAAAGCTGAGATGGAGGCTCGGTCTCAATTTATATCAGATTCGCTTCGCGATAGGTCTGAATCTCTGAACCTCATCCTCCTCCTCTTCCTCCTCCTCCTCCTCATCCAGAGAAGCTCCTCCTCGTTTCTCCCTCCTACTTCCTCCTCCACCCTTCTCCCTCCTACTTCCTCTTCCTCCCTCCTCCTCATCCTCCTCCTCCTCCTCATCATCATCATCATCATCATCATCATCATCATCATCATCATCATCATCATCATCAGCATCATCATCATCATCATCATCATCATCATCATCATCATCATCATCATCATCATCATCATCATCAGCAGCATCATCATCATCATCATCATCATCATCATCATCATCATCATCATCATCATCATCATCATCATCATCATCATCATCATCAGCATCTGCATCATCATCATCATCATCATCATCATCATCATCATAATCATCATCATCATCATCATCATCATCATCATCATCATCAGCATCATCATCATCTTCATCATCATCATCATCATCATCATCATCTTCATCGTCATCCTCCTTCTCCTCATCTTCCTCAGCCTCCTCCTGCTGGTCCTCCTCCTACTCCTACTCCTCATCCTCTTCGTCTTCCTCCTCCGCATCTTCCGCCTCCTCCTGTCCCTTCTCATCCACCCGGTTCCTCTATGAATAACCCCTCCCAGGCGCACCCCCAAACGTGTCGGTAGGGCGAACTGGCCGTTTCGCCCGAGGCCATTTACGATCCTCCAGCTTGAAATTTGCAACAGCTACAACGATGGAGGTGTATATGTTTTTCAACATGGGGTTCCCGCCTGGGCGTCGCGCACATCTGTCTGAAAAACTTGCGACAGCTACACGGACTGAAGGCTGCTCCTTGTCAAAATGGGCTTCTCTCATAGTGCCGCGCACAATCGTCTTGAAGTGTACAACATAGATGAAGGCGGCTGAGTTTCGAAATTGGGTCATCGCAGTAGCGCGCCGTAGCTTTCGCTTTGAACTTACAACAGCTACAAGAATGGAGGGCGGCTCCTTTGCAAAACGGGGCTGTCGCATGGAATACTTCCTCAAATTCAGCGACCCAGAGGTGGAACGCTTGGACGATATTGAGGACAACTGCGGAGCGCGTCGCGGCGGCGGCCCCTGTGACACGCCATGCCCTGCAAGCTCATAGCAGGTCGTGCCGCTCCACGGGGCAGGTAGGAGACCACATGCGAACCCTACCCCTACCCCCCACGATTTCTGAGGGGGAGGGTGGGGTTCACTTCGCTCGTGAGCTCTCGAGCGAAGTGAACCCCACCCTCCCCCTCAGAAATCGTGGGGGGTAGGGGTAGGGTTCGCATGCGGCCCCCTGGCAGGGGGCTGCGAGAAGCTCGGGGCGTTGACTCTCGTGGTACGGGACGCGGCTGGCGTGTCGCACCGAAGCGGTGCGCCAGAGCCGGCGGCACGACACGCTGGGCAGACGCTTCTGACAGTAATTAACAACTGCACGGACGAAGGGCGTCTCTTCTGTTCCACAGGGGGGCTCTCGCTTTCTACCAGGAGGGGAAAAACACACAGACACGATGAATCGTCGATCCCCTGGAAAACATGGGAAAATATGGGAAGTGGTGGGGAAGGTAAAAACCCAGAAAATATAGGAAAATATGGGACATCTTTTTATGTGTGTGTATTTGTTTGTGTGCCCCAGTTTCCCTTCATTCTAGACTGCCTCGAACCCAATTCTCCAGACAATGCTTGCGCTTGACGGGGCTTTTGCCTGTCGTCCTTCGGAATTGGAGATGCTTGCGTCGAGGATTCGCCACGCTGCGCCGCGCTGCCGCCCGTTGGGAGGAGGAGGAGGAGGAGGAGGAGGAGGAGGAGATGGAGGCGGAGGCGGAGGCGGAGGCGGGGGCGGAGGCGGAGGCGGAGGCGGAGGCGGAGGAGGAGGAAGGAGGAAGGAGGAGGAGGAGGAGGAGGAAAGAGGAAAGAGGAGGAGGAGGAGGAGGAGGAGGAGGGAGGAGGAGGCCCCCCGCCGCCGCCCCTGTTGCCGCCCGTGCGGTCCAGACACCAACGGAAAACGTCCGCAGGCTGCCTGCCACGCTCCCGGGAGGCCCGCCCCCCCCCCCCACCCCACCGATGGCTTGTCGCCTCCGCAGGCGCTCCTCGGCCTGCCTGCCGAGGGTGCTGCCGCGCTCCTGGGCGACGCGCAGCGGCGGCGGGCGGGCGGGCGCGCGGGGACCCCCGGCGAGACTTTCCCACGATAGGGGGGCCCAAATACGATCGCGTCGTAAAAAAATCAGGACGGCGAGTGTTCGGCCCCTGGGGGCCCTCGCTGGGCCTCGGGACCGTGCAGGATGAAAAACGGGTCCCGGGGAATGGGTCGAGACTTCCGGGGACCCCGCAGTGAAAAAATCACGACGTCGGATTTCCGGGGACGCACTGCTTGAAATCAGCGGGCGCTGGCGGGCCTGAGCAGATGCGGGCCCCGGTCGGGCAACGGGCGGGGTTCGCCAGGAGCAAAAAAGTGCGCACGGGGCGAGCGGGGCGCACCAAGGACGTGCTGGCGGTGTGCGCGGTTGCTACCTGTGGGGGGGGCGGGCACGTCGGAACCCAACACATAGCACAGACTGAGGGGCAACGTTAAAGGGGGGGATGGGCAGGGGGGGGGGGAAACATCGACCTCGAATGGGCGATACATCGCAGATAGATCGGCGAGAGGCCCGCGATAGTGAACCCACACGTTCCCGGGGAGGCTTTGGCTATCGGGCCCACATCGGCGATCAATGGGCGATTGGGTGTCGACACATCCCCCCTATGCCTGCCCCCCCCAGGGGTTGCCCCAGACAAGCTACTAGCCCAGAGATCCGACGTCGTGATTGTTTCAATACGCGGTCCCCAGAAGTCTCGACCCATTCCCCAGGACCGGTTTCTCATCTCGAGTCGTTTCTTGACGGCCCTGGGGCCCGACGAGGGCCCTTAGAGGCCGAAAATCGAGAAGAACCTCCGCCTCGATTTTTCCAATACGCTGGAGGTCTGGGCCTATGGTTGCCCCAGACAAGCGCCTACTAGCACACCTTTGTCTGGGCGGCATGGCCGGAAAGTGCCCACCACCGAGCAAGTGGTAAGTCGGGCCTGTCCCCCTACAGGGGGATTTTCGACGAAAAACAAAAAAAATACCCCCAAAATAATCAAAAAATTGTCCAAAAATAGTCAGGGGACTATTTTGCTAGCATTTGTTTACCTTCTTGGGGCATTTCTGGGGTATCTTTTATTTTTCCTCGAAAATCCCCCTGTAGGGGGACACGCCCGACTTAAAGCAGGTGCTGTGAGATCTCCTGGGCGCGCGCTGCGCCCCGTGGGGGGGGACCGCCGCGCACGCGCGGCACGCACACGGGCGGGCGATGGCGATCGAGATGTGGTCGGCGGCCACGCGCAGAGGGGGGGTATGGGGGGAGGGAAAGGCTTCTTAGAAGCATCCCTGCTTCTCAGAAGGCGCGGGCCTTCTCCATACATGTAAGGCCGGCGCCTCCTAAGAAGCAATCTCCTTCTGAGAAGCCTTCCCCCCTCCCCGCAGAGAATGCTCCGTAGATCTCGGAGCAACCTGCGCACTTCTCGCAGGTTCGACGGAAAATCCATTCGGCTTCTTAGAAGCATCGCTGCCTCTTGGAAGGCGCGGGCCTTCCCTATACATGTAGGGCCGGCGCCTTCTGAGAAGCAGTCCCCTTCGGAGAAGCCTTCCCCCCTCCCCCCAAACCCCCTTCTGCGCGCCGCCAAGGTCGGGCCGCGGCTCTGGCAGCTGCGGCCTCGGCCCCGCCGCGGCCCTGCGGGAGCCTCGCCTTCTTGACTGGAGGATCGGCTGCAGAGTTGGTGTGCCCCGAAATCGAGGCTTGTCCGTCGGAGCTACGGAGAAGGCGCAGAGAATGCTCCGCAAATCTCGGAGCAACCTGCGCACTTCTCGCAGGTTCGACGGGAAATCCATGCGGGGACAAACCGATTCTGCAGTCGATCCCCTTATTTGAACTCTGCTGCAGGGCCGCCCGTGGATCTGAGGTCACGGGTGTCACCCGACGGCCGGCCATCATGCACAGGGTGCTCGCGCCCCTGGGGGATCTCGTCGGCGAGGGGGGGAAGAGGAGGAGGAGGAGGAGGAGGACGAGGAGGAGGAGGAGAAGGAAGAGGAGGAGGAGGAAGAGGAGGAGGAGGAGGAGGAGCAGGAGGAGGAGCAGGAGGCTGTGGCTGCGGGGGGCGCTCGAATCTCGAGGCTCGAGGGTCGAGGAGCCACGAGGGAGGCGAGGGCCCTGGAGGAGGCGGGTGGTGTACTTGTTCGCCGTCGTCGCGCTCCCTGGGGGGGGGGAGGAAGGGGGGGAGAAGGCGGGGCGGCAGGCGGCAGGGGAGGGGGGCGGGAAACGCCCGAATCTCAGGGGCTCGAGGGCCGAGCGCGAGGGAGGCGGGTCCCGGAATTGCTCTCGCCGTCTTCGGGCCCCCTGTGGGGGGGGGGGGGGGGCGGGGGGGACGGCGGGGGAATGGCCGAGTCTGGCGGCGGGGTGAGGTCGCCGAGGGTGAGGGCGGGCGCTCGCGGACTCGAGGGAGACGAGGTCCTGGAGGAGCGAGGGGCAATGGCAGAGGGGCAATGGCATAGGGGGGGGACATCGACCTGGAATCGGCGAAGCATCGCCGATAGATAGATAGATCGGCGCTAGGCCCCCGACAGCAAATCCGCACGTTCCTGGGCAGGCTGTGACTATCGGGCCCCCATCGGCGCTCAATGGGGGATTGTGGGTCGATGCCTCCGCCGCCTGAGCCTATCCCCCCTAGTGTTAGGTCGGACATGTCCTCTTACAGGCGGATTTGGGGCGGAAAAAAACATATGTTATTCTTGATACTAATATTAATTAGTGTAATCTATACCCAGAAAATCCACATGCTATGTTTCGACTATGCTTGAATATCCCTCCTGTAGAGGGACACGCCCGACTTCACCCTGGTTAACGCTGGCCCTGAAGGAGACGAGCCCTCGAGTGATTCGCCGCATCTGGGCTCCCTGTGGCCCTCCCCAGCAGCGGGCGGCGGCGGGCGCGGTACCCCCGGGCGGGGAGGCGATCCAGGTTCGAGATTCGAGGCTCGAGGATCGAGGATCGAGACTCGAGGCTCGAGGATCGAGGAACAAGGATCGAAGTTCGAGGATCGAGGATCGAAGTTCGAGGATCGAAGATGGGCGTTGGACCCCCCTCCCTGGAGCACGAAGCGCGCCAGGGGCGGCGCCGAGGGCGCCGCCAGGGGGGTGCAGCGCCGATCCAAGAGATCCGTGCGGACCTCCAAAAAAGTTGATGCTTGTGTCCTTCCTTCTCGCTCGACTGAACGGAGGCGGCCCTGAACAGGGCAAGAGGCAGCCCGGAAGCCCTCGCCTCATCCTCAGGGCCCGCACCCTCGGGGCCCCCTCACTCTCGAACCCATGCCTCATGACGCTTCTACGGCAGGCTCGTGTCGTGCCCACTTCGGCGTTGGTTCCTGACACCGCGGGGACCGTCCAACCTTGGACGATCGGCCGTTTCCGAAACGTCACATGCTTCAACGTCGACCGACTCTGGGTCGCCGGCCTACGGCAGGTTCGTGTCGTGCCCACTTCGGCGTTGGTTCCTGACACCGCGGGGGATCGTTCAACCTTGGACGATCGGCCACTTCCGAAACGTCACATGCTTCCACGTCGACCGACTCTGGGTCGCCGGCGGCAGCGGCGGCCGTGGCGGCGACGACGGCGACGACCGCGACGACGGCGGCGACCACGCGCCGCGGCCACGAGCCGGCATCTCGGGGGCCACGACGCCCGAGGCCGGCGGCCGCTCCCCATCGACCGATTCTGGGTCGCCGGCGGCGTGCAGCGTGGAACGCCCGCGGCGGGGCCGCCGCCGGTCGACAACTCGCGCCAGGCGGCAGGCGGGGCGCCTGCTCGGCAAGAGGCCCCGCCCCTCGCCCTGCCCCAGAGCTTCGCACGACCGAGGACGCCTCGAGGCGGGGCCTTGGGTCGTCGTCGTCGTCGTCGTCGTCGTCGTCGTCGCCACCGTCGTCGTCGTCGCAGGCGCAGCACGCGCGCGCGCGCGCCGCGCGGCACGGGCTGCCCGGCGGCGCTCCTCGACGCCCTGCTCGAGCTTCTCCAGCCGCGCGGCCAGCTGGTCCAGCTGGGGACGACGACGAAGACGACGACGACGACGGCAGCAGCGGCGACGGCGACGAAGACGACGACGACGACGACGGC